TGGGGCAGGTGAGAAGCGAGGTGTGTCTTTTACCTTTCCAGCTCAGTCGCGTTCCTCGCCATTGTGCTCAGGGAAGCGGCTGGTAAAAAAAAAAACCCTTCTCGCGAGTTCAAACTTCTTGAAGTCGCGAGAAGGGTTTTTTCTTACCAGGGGATTCCCTGAACACAATGGCGAGGAACACGACGGAGCTGGAAAGGTAAGAGGTGCGCCTCGCGGCCCAATACCACCCACCTTGCCCCATTGGTAAAGGCAGCCTGCCTGGTTCCCTTCCCCGCCGTCCCTTTAGCGAGTGATGGCAGGTGGTGGAGAGAGAAGCGAGGCGCGCCTCTTACCTTTCCAGATCCGTTGCGTTCCTCGCCCTTTCGCCCATTGAATCCCCTTGTAAAAAAACCTCATGAGTTCAACTTGCGAGGTTTTTTTAACAAGGGGATTCAATGGGTGAAAGGGTGAGGAACACAACGGACCTGGAAAGGTAAGAGGCGCGCCTTGCAGACCAATACCGCCCACCTTGCCCCAATGGTAAAGGCAGCCTGCCTGGTTCCCTTCCCCGCCGTCCCTTTAGCGAGGGGTGGCGGGGGGGAAGAAGTGAAGCACACCGCAACAGACCTGGAAAGGTAAGAGGCGCACCTCGCTTCTCCCCACCCCATCTGCCACCCCTTGCTAAAGGGATGGCAGGGAAGGGAACCAGGCAGGCTGCATTTACCATTGGGGCAAGGTGGGCAGTGTTTTTTTCGCGCGAGAAGGAACAGGCCGAGGGGGTGATCACATTGCTGGCCTGCCGCTTCTTTTTGCGGTGGGTTCTTTTTGCGCGGGAGGGAAGGGAGGTGGGTGGAAGCACTTTGCTTCACCTGCCACTGTTTTTGCAGCGAGCCCTCTTTTTGCCCCCCAAGCTGTACTGATAGGTAGTAGAGTGGTAATGGCGGGGACCGGTTGCACATTCGCTTAAATATTTGGGGATGACCTTATTTTCGAGGGAGGGCTTATTATGGTGCATGCTCCGAAAAGCCCGATTGGGCTAATTAGCAGGGCATGTCTTATTTTCGGGAAAACATGGTATTTTCTACTAATGAACTACAAAAGCTCTGAACTGCAGGCCACTTTTGTGTTTTTTTGTTTTTGTGAAGTGTGAAGCTTAATGTCAGATTAGAAGCAGCATACATTGAATTCATTTTCATTCTGAAAACCATACAGATCACAAATCACCTTCAGATAATTCTCAAAACTAACAAACTTTAGCAGAAGCTTTCTTGAGGAGAAAACAGATGTTTTGTATTTCAAAAGTTTTTTAAATTCATATCATGCAGTTATTAAGTATGTGAACATTCTCAATGTATTCAAAATTAAATATGAGATGGAGATTGATAAAGGAAGTGGAAAGTAATATCTTTCGAGTGAAGCAAATATTTGTACAATAATGAAGTTTCTTAATCTTAACAGCTTGAAGATGCATAGACTTCAAGTCCCAGAACTCCCCAACCAGCCTTGACGTTCATACACCTTCAAGTTGCTAAGATTGAGATAATTTTTAAAGCCCCGTATGTGTTTCCAGCTACCATTATTTCTTCCACCTTTTCAAAGTCTTGCCTCGTGCTTTTTTGCCCTCAAACACTGGCCTGGCTGTCACCATCTGCATTTCTTCCTCTGCACTGGAGCTGCTACTCCTTGCTTCACTTTGTGCAGATGCAACTTCTAGGCTAGTTTTGTGACTTGCCATGTTCGTTTCGACTGTCTTTGCATTCTCCCCTTTTCTGTGCTTTCTGGAAGCTTCATTCTCCAAATCACCAGCTAAAGACTCACTGGATGCCTCCGAGAGAACCTCTCCTATGAAGCCACCACATAGAACACTCCGTTGCTCAGATGGCGGGCATTTTTTCCGTTTGCTTCCTCGTTTCCGGCATCCAGGCCTTTCTTTATTGAATGCCTGCCCTTTCTTCTGTTTCAGTTCTTTTTCTAGGACAGCAGTTGCCTCCTGGACTTCACTGTCTTCTTCTTCCTTCTCTTTTCTCCTCATGCAGGTCACAGCTCGGCGAAGCCTCTGACTCTTGATGGCTTGTTTTTCATGTTGAGCCAGTCTGAAGAAAGAGTCAATACGCAGCTGAGTCTACAAAAGAAAGAAAAGTACCCCTGTAAGATTCTGTAAGAGTTATGGAGAATACTATCTGCAGCAGAGAAAACATGCAACAAAATTCATATCTTTGACAAGAGAAGCTCCAGCTGCTTGTGCTTAGTCTTGATACATTTAAGGTATAGGCCAGGGGTCGGCAACGTGCGACTCTGGAGCCGCATGTGGCTCTTTCATCCATCTGCTGCGGCTCCCTGTCGCTAGTCGGCTCCACAATTGATAGGGCTTTCGGTTAGACAGGTAGAGGAAAAAGGATGTCGTGCTAGNGGTTTATAGTATTAGCATGTTTTTCCCAACAATCTGGGTCCTCATTTTACACCAATCTTGTAAGAATGGAAGGCTGCGTCAACCTTGAGATGCTTCAAATCAAATCGTTGGCAGTCAGTAGAATTAGCTTGCAATACTGCATTCTAAACACTGCATCACCAGTTAGAGATAGTCTTTGCTTAGTGACAAGCCCTTCAGCAACCATTAGAACTTAGGACAGCACTGAGTGACATGCTAGAGAAATGTGGGATAATGGAAACGGAATACAGAGAAAAGGATACTAAGTTAAAGAGAAAAAAGAGAGACCAGGACTGGGAAAAAGAAAAGTGGGATAAAACAATCACCTACTTATTTTGCTCTTTGATCTTCTTAAAAATGTTTACTCTTTAATATGCTTTTCAATAATATATTTCAATTAAGGGTGAATCTGAATAAAAGTTTGATTAAATAATCATTTTTATTATTAGAAACTCTAATTGCCCCATGTACCATCTTCATATACAACAAAGTGAAGCATATTATTTTTTTAAGCAGAAACAGTCTGGGCAGCCCTCAAACCCAGTAGGTAAAATAAAAATAAAATAAAGTATTTTTTTCATGTTAAACATATCTACATGTATTTGCACTGTAACTATAAAACAATATTTTTAAGAACCAGAGGAAATTTGAATCTTACCACCTTTTATTATTCAAAGGCAAGAGAATATAAAATATAGAAACATAGAAAAAACTCCTCATAAAAATTATAGCCAGGAATCTTTGCAATATTAATTTATACACTTCCTTTTCACTTAAAAAGTGTAAGAGGACAATTTCTCAGTGTTTCCAAGAGCTATAATAGAATTAAAAATTTGCAATGAATAAACACTGAATATGCAAAAACATTAATTATATGCAGTGGGAAAGTGTAACATTAAACATATTCAATTGCATTCTACCTATTCAAAGAGATGGGCGTTGGCAAGTCTTCAATTCTACATCAGTCATATTATATACTACAAAGGGCATACTCCAAATAGTAGCTTACTTGTTAAATTCTCTCCATTCTGCTCTTCTCTTAGACTTTGTTGACTGATGTCTGTTACTATGCAAACTGCTTGTTTCTTCCCTTCATCATCTCCAGATTCTTCTGATTCAATTCTTTTATCAACTATAGAACGGAAAATATAATTGTTTATTTTAGAATGAATAAAGTATAATAACAGAGACAAAACTGATACTTTATAACTTACAAAAGATATTGTCGCATCCTTGAGATACACAATTATTAGGGCATATGCTTTTATGGATTAAAAAAACCTTGTGAATATTTATCTGTAAATAAATCTGTTATGACACATGACTTATTTTTCCTACAATAATTTAACAGAGCTAACACTCTAAAGATAAACTAATAAGACTGGAGTTTCAGAAAGAGGCATGAGTATTGTAGTAGCCCCCCCCTTTTCAAAATAGATTTACTCCCAAGTAACAAGATCTAACCCCCCCCCCACTCACCCCCCAGCTAAATGGAATGCTAAACATGCAACATATCCAAGTTATGGCAAACCCAACTTGCATATACTATGAAAGCCAGAATAGGTTACATCTGATAACTTTTCAGAGGGGTAACCATGATAGGGTTTTTGCAACAAATACAATAACTTTGTGATGAATTAAACACTAATAAAACTATTGTACAAACCCTTGGAGTTATAAATTATTTTTTAAAATGTGTATTGTCCATTACACATATGCATAATTATGTACACTCTAGTTAGGATCACAGAATATCAGATATAGTGTTTGTTTTTGAACAAATATGCATTTGGATGTCACATCTTGGCTTACTGTGCTAAAATATGAAAAATCCTTTGTCATGGCACGCAATCTCTTTTTTCTCTCTCTTACAAATAGGAATATTCAAGCAGTTCATTGACTATATACCATCAAGTTGTTTTCAGGTCTTAGTGATGAATCTCTCTAATTTGTTCTTTCAAGTTTCCCAATGGTGCACTTATAGCCACAGTTACTAAGACCATGCATCTTGCTGCTGGTCATCTTCTTCCTCCCTTTCCTTTCACCCTTTGTAGAATTATAGCCTTTTTCAGACAGTTGGGTCTTCATATAATGTGTCCAAAATAGGATAATTGAGCCTAATTATTTGTGCCTTGAGTGAGAACTCTGGGCTGATTTGTGCATTGGTTTGTTTTCTTGGTTGTATACAATATTCTCAGTAGTTTTCCCCAACACCAAAGTTCAAAGACATCAATACTCTTCCTATCTTGATTCTTTAAAATCCTGTTTGCTTCCATAGAATGTCACAGGGAATGTTAGGTAATGGCATTAAATGTGCCAAGTTATTAAGAGAACTTTAAATCATATACTTTATATCCTAAATATCTTCAAAGAGATTATTTATCTATTTTCCCCTCCTAGATCAATATATATTCATCTCGGTTCTTGGCCCAAGATTTGGGTTTTGAATTCTTATTACCAGATGCCCAAGTATTGATCTACAGTGAATGAGCTACTACAGTTCGGGTATAATTTATTGATGTACTGAATTCAGATACAAGTAAAAAGCATGGCACAAAAGTCTTGTCAGGCCAGTCAAGAATATTTTCATCTCCTTTGATAACTTCTTCTTCAGTATGAAGTATCAATCAGATTGACAACTTAACCTTAGTTCAAAAATGACGGGTAATTCCCTGGCAATGTCAATAACCAAACTCAAGAATGGTAAGCCATTCACTTGATGTTGGAAATCATCACAAGACTATAAAACTCCATTCTTCTTCAGTTTTCATTCTATCTGCATCTGTGGTAGTACTCTCATTATGCCTAAGATTTTAATACTATTCCACATATTACGTATTGCTACTCAAAGTACACTTTTCCATATGAGCCCCATGCAAAACATTTGAACTTATTTACACTTCTGGCACAGAAAGTAATTTAGATGAACTTACTTGGAAAATATTTAAATTCCTCTCTATAAGGAAAAGTTGCCAGACAAGATTCCTCAATTATTAATTTTTTTGCTAAATATATGAACATTTTTAACTGTTCTGTCAGCATCATCTCTCATTTTATAAGAAAATGGGTAATAACTGACTTTATAAAAATTTTAGAAGATTATATGAACCATAATGTGATGTACTTTTGGTTTATTATCACTGATGTCTACGAAGCATCCAACAGGAGGTATCGGATGGTCTCCTTACTGATATGTCACACCTTCCTTCACATTTTGGGAAGCTACAATGTGAATAATAAAAACAGGTTGTGTAAAAATAGTTTTCATAAAACTATTTTGTTGCTCTGTAAGCAGCAACAAAATAAAACCTGCAACACAAAGCCATGATTCCCATTTCTGTAGTTAGATGTACCTCCTGAAAGATGCAAATAAAACCCTTTTGCTATGGATAAATTTAGAATAGGTTGCTACAAACTCTACTCAGATCCACAGCAAGCAGTGAGATTCACTCTCAGGATAGTAAATTTATAACAATAATTCATGTTGCAAGTTCATCCTACGCTGCTGTCATTGATATAACCCTTTCTCTCTCTTCACTATAACACTTAGCAGGAAATTGCTGAATTTAAAGCATGAGTGAACAATATGAAAGTCCTGAACTCTTGATGTGAATAAAAGGTGGGATTTAAATGAAGTTTGATGAGTCAGTGGCAGATTAAATCGTCAACATCAAGAAATCCTGCACCGACTCAGTGATGACATCCGAGCTGCTGTTAAGGCAGGTTTTATAAAAAGACTTCTTACTCAAAAGTATTAATGTCTTATTCCAGCATCATCATCTCACAAATGACAACGTGCGTTTGCTTTGCATGCCATGCCAGTAACGGCGAGACCTGGCAATTTGTAGGAGAGTAAAAATAACTGATTTAATTGACGAAGTAGGGTGGAGATGGGGATTATGAGACCCTACTACAGCAATTCTGACTCCGGGGAACAGCCCCAGCTTTTTCTCACAACATCTCTCGCCCGAAAAGCTTCCCCCACTGCCCACTGTGCTGACCACCCCCTAAATAGATGCCCCGCCAATACTTCGGCATCTCCCACATTAAGGCCAGCAGCCCCAAACCACAACGTCCCCCATTTCTCTATAGTCGCTGAACGGAACCGAGCCAACCCTAGCCTAGATTCGGACATCGCGCGCTACAATCCGGCCTCTCACCCTCCATCATCTCTTGAGCGCCCTCCCCACTCTCTGGCTCCGCTGTCGTCGTTATCGTTGTCCTCGTCGCCATAACGCTTCGCGCTCACCCCTCCTTCCGGCATCGGACATGGCACTGGGATAGCCAATGAAGAACAGGTTCGGGATCTCCTTCAGCCAATCACAGAAGCAGCTTCGCCGCAGAGGCACCAATGAGACATTATGCGCCTGCGTCTAGCCCCATAGCTTCCTGGGAAATGTAGTTTTTTTTCCCTTCAGAGACGTTAACATGCCAATGAAACGAGCAGAAGAATTTCAGGAAAGCCGTGTGTTTGTGTCTGTTATTGTGTAAGTGTCGTGGTCGTAACTCCTGTTTACTTGGCTTTTCTAGTAGCAGTGTCGATGTACTGCCCTTCTCGCCATTTAATTGGAAATTAACTGAGATAACTAGTAGACAGGAAAAAAAAGACAGGTAATAATAAAATAGAACGATAGAGGAAAAGGCTGTACCTTAGTGTCTTATCCATCCTTTGACTGCTATGGGGGAAAGCTGCTGTTTCCCTTTCCTTTGCCGGATAACTGGGTTTTGTCTATAATATAACCAAAAATATTCTTTTTGCACTGTTTTCTTTTCTAAATACTAAGGCGGCCTGCATAAGTACACTAATATGCCTATCGTCCCTGTTATTGTATTTTTATTCTCTTAGTCTTCTTCTCGTTGGACAAATTCCAATAAAATAAATAAATAAATAAATAAATAAATAAATGTTATTTTAAAATATTAAAAGAATCATGCTGTATCTAGTGGAAGACCACTAGATACAGCATGCCTCCAAGCAATCCTCTGCACAACAGGAAAATAAACCTTTGTGACTGCTGTTCCCCAGCAACTAATAAATTCTGAGACTTAAAAAGATAGTATCTCATGCAGTACATGAATAATCAATATAATTTATCATTGCTACAGTGCGGACCTTGGATGAAGCAGATTATCTGGATAATCAGTCTGGTTTCAGGCCTGGTTACGGCACAGAAACTGCTTTGGTCGCGCTGATCGATGATCTCTGGCAGGCCAGGGATAGAGGACATTCCTCTATCCTAGTGCTCCTTGACCTCTCAGCGGCCTTCGATACCATCGACCATGGTATCCTTCTGCGACGGTTACGGGAGGTGGGAGTGGGAGGCACCGTTCTAAGGTGGTTCTCCTCCTACCTCTCGGACAGGTTGCAGTCGGTGTTGGTTGAAGGACAGACGTCGACCCCTAGGCCCCTCAACTATGGAGTGCCGCAGGATTCGGTCCTGTCCCCCCCCTCCTATTTAATATCTACATGAAGCGGCTGGGTGAGATCATACGCCGGCAC